TGATTGAATGGTTGAGGGCTTGAAGGGTAGATGGCGCAGATCGGGGTTACGGGAGGGGCGCACGGGATAGAATCTAATTATCAGTGTAGGAGAAATCAGCTTTTCGTTTATGCGTTCGAATGTCAAAATCATAAAAAAAACCCTGACATGTTAGTTGGCGCGTGGAATGGACAGGAAGGTGTGACAATGGGGCGGGTTGAGGAGAGGAAAAGAGTCATGGTCTAGAAATTCTGATTTTCTAAGCACTATCAGAGCGCTACTGTCCTATACTGTGGAACCGAAGATCACTGTAAGGAAAATGGCTACGGTTCAGATTGTTCCAAATTGAACTCAAAGGCAATGGTCACGACCAATTCAATGGGGTGATCCCGCTCGAAAGTAGGAAATCGCTCTGGGCAGCGCCTTAATTACTCTTTTCGAGGTGCTAACTTGTCGCGACCTCTACAGTTGTGGACCTAGCACCTCCACTCACGGCAGAGACCTCCTCAGTGAGGCTGAGCCCCACCTTTTGACTTCAAACAAAATTCATCATGGAAAAGTGACGATAAAAGACTGTGCTAAATCCATGTGAATCTCAAGAATGCTGAGTTATGGACAAAACTCTTCTGACAGGATTCGAACCCGAATCTCACGTTTCCCGGATAAATGTGCTAACTGTGAGGCGAAGTGTTCTCACAGTTTGTTTGAGAACTGTTAGACAAAGAAAGTTTCCGCCAATTTCTCATTTTGCTTTTACACATTTCCTTCACTCAAACCGTTGTCCGATTCTATTTAGCTCAACCAAAGCTTTTTTCACCATTGTTGTTTGTGAAGAATGGAAAATTGAGTATAGTAGGTGACGGGGGGGGGCATCACTGAGCTTTCACCAAGTACAGCATATGATCATGGAGAAGTAGAAACTTCTTCTTCTTCTCACCAGCGTCAATCTCGCGCCGTCGCAAGGTACGCTGATCTTGTTAGGTGCAGTTTCTTCTGTCCAGGGAACCCTACCGTGACCTTAAAGTCTAATTCTGAGATTAGATTCACTAGGAGAAACCACGCTGGGAGTGAACTTATTGGGTCTGTAGCTACTGAGGTCGTATCAGCCTCGTCGCACAAAATGCGCGGTTAGGGCGCTAATCCGTTAAGAGTTCGCACACCACGATTGCATAGAGATCAGCGTGCTCTTTTATACGGTGTGTTCTCTTGGTGTCTTGAATTCTGTGTTAGATATGTGTTGTAGTATAAATGAGGGCCCTTACACCATGCGAAAACTGTTCTGAAAAAGCCGTTCTGGAAAAAGTACGCACACCTGGCGGGCAGTGCAAGTAAAAGCCCAACGAGCGTTCCCAAAAATGACGTCTTACTCGATCAATGATGCAAACTCGCCTGGTCAAGCGTAGGGAACGTCCATAAATGCAGAATTTTGTGGACCAATCCCATGAGCATGCTGACACCCGCCCCTGACGACCTCTTGTCGTCCCCGCTTTAAAGAAATAGGTCGTTTTGGGCTCCCCCACTTTCTTCACGATTTGGGCGCGGCCGCGGCAAACCCGCGGCGTTCGCGGCCGAGTAGTGCGGCATCAGCTTGCCTGAGTATTCGACGTTACATTACGTGTTAGTTCATCCGATCCTAACGACACGTAAATTGTCCCAAATCGTGGAAGAAAGTGGGGGGGGGGGTGATGTTTTAGATAGATTTGAATGCATTGTGCCATAACAGTGTCCCGTGTTTTGCAATAGCGCCCTTTGCGACTTTCAGTCTGCATTTTACCTTCTCTTATCTAATTCTCGTCACTGAACGTCCGTAATGTTGCTCGATATCTTCAAAGTCTGGGCTTTCGTTGCGCCAATAGTGTTTCCGTACGGGATGCCATCAAACAAATCTTGAGGACGATGCTGAAGGGATGATCATAAGCAAGTTCACCCCTAATTGTTCAATCGATGATGGTAATATTTTTTAATTTGAGCTGATAGAGAAACTGTTATAATGTGCAAATTTGACTGTAACAATGAACGTAATAAATTTCAAAAATTAAAAGCAATTCATGCACCAGAATTGAGGTTTTCTATGACACAGAACTCTTAAAGGCAAGATTCAGGATTAAAATTATGAGGTAATTCCACTCAAATGTGAAAGTAGGGGTAGGTAGTGGACCGCCAGTGCAGAAAAAGAAAAAAATCGTGAAATGCACAGGAAATACGAGCCTTTTGCTCTACGCTGCGGAGAAGTTCAAAAGGCCGGCAGGGAGATGTGAGCGCGGAGAGCGCTAGAGAAGTACGAGTAGAGAGAGCATAGCAGATCAAGTTAGCGACGCAGACAAGATATCGAGCGGTGGGCGGAGCGTGTCGCAACAGGTGGAGCGTGTCAAAGTTCTTAGCGCCTAGCGTCTAAGTAACGCTTTTCGAAGTAGGGAAGTGACGCGACCTCTACACTTGCGTACCTAGCGCTTCTAGCCACCGTAAAGGCTCATTAAGTGGGTCTGAGCCCGAACTTTGCCTTTAAGAAAAACTCATCGTTCACGCCAGTTCAGTCGAACGGCTCTCCTTCGAAAACTAATTTTCAGAGCTGATTGGGATGATTAGGTTTTACGACACTCAAAGTCATGTAACTCTATTCAAACAAAGTGCCGGCTTCTTTGCTTCTTCAACTTGGGCCTAGAGCTCGAAAAACTTAGAAGTAATGGTACTTGATCTCGCAAACGTCTGGGCGGGACTGAAGACAAATTCCATAGCCTAGTATCCGGCTAACCTTCACCTGAATCTGCTATGCCAAAAAGAAAGAGGTCTTGATCGTGGATGATTTCTAAAGTCTCTCTGCTCCTCAAAATGATCAAGTGACGTGCTTCCAGAAGAGTCTACCGAAAGTATTGAATATGAAGGTAAATTATACGAACCAAAACGTTGATGAGCGCAAAGCCATTGTCAGAAAGCGGAAATCGAGGAGCAGACCTGGGAATCTTATTGTTGATGATGTTGTTGAGCAGTGCGCCATTTCACTCCATACTGTACTAATTGTGATCTATGAACTAAGGTTCTCAGAAAAATGTTTTCATTACCAGGTTCTTTACACAGTGGATCACAGAAATATTGTGCAAATATGAAAGTAACCGCAAGTCAGTGCAGGGCCTGAAAAAGCTGCCGTGCATTGGTTTCAATTGTGACACCAAGAAACCGAAATAAAATACAAATTAAAAATAAATAACTATTGACATTCGAAACAAGCAGCACAAGTTTATCTAATATTATTTTGATAGTTTCTTCGTATTCTTTCTAAGCTTGTTTTTGCAACCACGGCTAAGATGATACAAGGACTTGATTCGACTACGTTTTGGCTGGTCGCCTTCCTCAGAGCCTGGAAGGTCAGAAATCCGTGAGACTTACCCCCAGAGCCGAAACAGTCTGCATAAATTGGAAGCATTCAAGGAATGAGGGGGGGGGGTTAGGCGCTTGTAAATCAGAAGCCCCAGCCGATTCACCTTACAAAAAAGCAATACACAAAACTCGCTCAAGAAGGATACCACACATTGTGTATGATGTATGATTCATTGGACGTCGAACTCATGCACTTTCTCCATACTTTTTTTCAGGTGGTTCTGCAAGGAACACAACCAAAATGTAAATTTCAGAACAAATGTCTCTTGGTGAAAGGTATGCGACAAGTACAAAAGTTACAAAAGTCCTTCTCTGAAATGTTCCTTTAAGTTCGAGTCAGCTTCAGGTGCTCATGCTAAACGCATTTGCCGTAGCTGTAGATTCGCCAAATGCAAGGAGATTGGAATGAATGAGCAAGGTAAAATCAGGTTTCCGGAATGTTTGATTATTTCCCCATTTCCCATTATTTTTTTCATAACTCTCCAAAACGAGTTTCTCGTGAATTTCGGTAGAATATTTCATAAATTATGTATTATTCATTTTTTGGCGATAGGGACAGCAGCATGATTTTTCTATGACAGTACATTATTGTATTCTAAATTTTAATTTTCAATGATGCATATGCGTTACGCCTTCGACTATTCATTTTGATCTTGGGATCGATACATTGGTTGTGCAAAAAATTTATTTATTTATTTATTTATTTATTTATTTATTTATTTATTTACTAATACATCACAAGGATGTGCCCACAAAGAGTGTATCAAAGAGAAAAACAAAACACGAAACACAAATTCTTGAAGCACACTAGATTCATGCACAGCTTAATTATCTTACGCAGTATTAATTATTATAATTATCTTAATGGGCGAGATAAATGAATGGCGAGCATAAATGACATGACCTATTGATAGCACATGCCATCAAACATGTGTTTTGGTCATAGTGTGCTGTGTATCGAATGTAAAGCCTAATTATTTTCTAATCAAACTCCATAGGCAATAAAATCATTAGCAAGAAAGAATAGAATCAACAGTACTCGTCAAAGATGGTAATTCATCATTTAGATCGAGAGCTGTGCTCCTGAATTCGCTCTAATTGGAAGTCTGCAAATTCTTTCTAGACTGCACGCTTATAGCTGCTCGTTCTATGCGTGTGTTGGTTCCATAGTATGCTGCTCGCCAGTAACACACATGGAAGCTAGTTCGTTCTGAACTTTGTACGTCGGTGTAGAGGAACCTGCTGGTACAGGCAGCTGAGAGTCAATCAATTTTCTCCCTTTTCGCGACCCCTCGCTCCAAGTTGGTATCTTTAAAGCCACGAGTCAGGCTCAGTGGACCAAACCAATCACTTTAGTCGTCTATGTGCATGGCTACGCACCCACAGGGACGTTGCCATGCTCAGAATCTCAAAAGGCGCCGTAATAACGCCCCAGGGCATGCATTAAGCGCTCGCGCCGCCTGGAGGCGCTCCGGCCGCCCACCATGGGATGTGGTGCGTGGCTGGCCTAACGTGTGAGATCAGCTGAGTTGATTGCCGTATCAACCGATGGAACGGCTGGCATATCCAGAAAACTCGTTTGGACGTGACTCTCCCCCGAGCAAATCTCCTTCACTGCTAGAAGGAATGGGTTTCTATTTAGGTGTTGTCGACAGTTTTTTTTTCGTTTTTTCTTCACTATCGTTCCACCTCCCATCTCTAAACTCAATATCAGGTGCCATAATGCCGAAACACGAGCCTGACTTTTGCCTTTAAGTAGAAGCGTTTGAGTAGTACATCGAGGGGTAAAGGCCTGGCTGATCGGCGCGAACTGTACCATGGAATCATTCAGGTTACTGTATATTGGATCAGTTTCCACAAACATTTCCTTTCTTACAGCGCAACAATAAATGCGGAGGACAATAAATCTTGTTCGATCAATTCTTTTTGGAATTCTTCTGCCCTATTTGCCTATTTCAAGCAATCTAATCGTGTAAAGGGTTATCGTCACTGCAATCAAAGGACACAAAGGTGAAGTGTTCCAGCATCAGGGTTGAGGTCCTAAGTCAGGGTCAATCCTATCGTTGATGCTCTTTTCGAAATTTTGTGCCTCCCTACAATGGTTCATGATCCCCCCCCGCTGGGAGCCTCGAGTCGCGGTAAAACTTTGATGGCGCGAAGTTGGGTTTTTGCGCAGCTTTCAAAGCAGATATTTCCTCAAAATCGAGGGAATGGCGATGCATGGAGAATAGAAAACTCTAGTTATCCTTCAAAGTCGCACTTTATTCATGGAAAAAAATAGTTAAAGTAGCACGTTTGTGCGAATTCCGATGATCAGGCGATAATAAGTACTTGAAACTCTAAATTGGTGAGCGAATGCTGCAGTTAGGCTACTAACTTCGAAGGCTTTTCTGCTAGTTACCGGATTTGTTGTGAAAAGGTTAGCAGATCAAGATCTTTTGGGGACTGTTTTGGGAGCTCGGAGCAGTGTTTTTTGGAAAAAAGCCTCGACTTCGAGACTATCCAAATTTCTTAAAATATATTATTATGGAAATATATGCAATATGCTTTATAAAGATAGACAAGATCCAAGCTCCAAATGTACAGAAATTTTTTCGAAAATCTACCAATTTCAAAACTAAGGTCCCTCTAAGACGTTTTTGAGGGGTACTTTTGAGGTTATATTTCTGGAACCTATACTTTTTAGGCTTTCAATGGATCGTAGCTTTCTTCGAGGCCATTTTCTTGTAATGATGTGAATGATTCGAACTTGGAGCGCATGCATCAAAAAACTCACCCAGGGTCAACCGTCCGTTGGACAAAGTCCAACGCGACGACGAGAGTAATGCCGAGAGTGAACGTACGCACGGAGACACAGACGGCTCGCGGGTGGCGAGAGTGAATGCCGGCGCGGAGAGCGGTGAACATCGGTCCAACGTCGCTCCAATATCGGTCCAACGTAACGGTTGACGAACCTGGAGTCGCGTGGCAAATCCTTCCGCGGCAAAGAGTGTCTTTGGAAAAATTTTGCTTTCGTCTTGTCAGAACATATGCTTTGCCTCCCATCCTGGCATTTCAAGTTTACTCAGAAACCTTGGGATCCATTCTTAAACATTTTTTAGTGACATCGAATTTAAAGGCCTGACGCCAAAATTCCTGCCATGGTGTGCGTAATGCCTACGGTGTGTTTCTATTTTGCTGGTGCATTTCGATTGATATCCTCACGATTTTAACAGCTGATCACATCTTCTTACAAAGTCCCATCTCGTTGGCGAAGTTTACACGCCTCCAATTCACCCGCGCATTCTACAACGGGCGGTTGCCGTGCCCTCAAAGCGGAGCCGATCATCCTTTTGCAAGTATTGCTATGATCACTGACGTAAAGAACGCCAAAATGCTACGATTTTATTATGTATGGCCAAAGAGTTGATAAATAGGATAAGACATGTGAAAATGGGGCGACGGACTATACAATCGTCGGCTAATGAGGTCACGCCGCTCACGCGGCGAGAATCGTCGCGTGCGGCAGTTGCTGCGGCGATTTCTGTGTGGACCTTTTCTTATCCATCCATGCTCATAAGTTGGCTAGGTGACTGATAACACCAGAGTGCTGGACATCAGTAAGCCAGCAAGCGTCACTGTAAGATCCCTGCAGTGATTTAAGCCTCGCAGTACAAACTTGTACCGTGTAAAGGTTGTCCTTTTGGATTTAATTTGACTTCTTTATTAATCAGTTTCCTGAATTTCTATCAGAGAGTGATAATCTGGTTCAATCGGAAAGAATATTGCGTATCAAGACACAGAGTAGCGGCGAGGAAGGCTCTAACATAAGCATGATATGATAAGTATGTAATAACGGCGAGCGAAAACGAAACTGCATTTTAAGGGTTTAAGGTGGTTCTTATTTCATGTTTCATGACGGGAAACATGATCTGAATCGTTACATTCCCCAATGCTTGGATGCTGAGTTCTTTGCAAATTCGCCGCGATATTGCTGGCTGCGGCGGCCCGCGCGGCGACCTACTTACTGCCACGATTGTATAGTCACGCACCCAAATGAAGTGCGCCGCATAACATGCACAGGCCCGGAGGCCTCGTTCCCTTTTGAGGCCCCCTTTCCAAGTCTTTTGTCCATTCGGGCTCAGTTAGCGCCAACTTCACTTCGAGAAATACGAAAACTTACTTGCTTGCAACGCAAGCTATGCATGGGGCAAATTGTCATTCAGCTGCCTCTACAACTATGTGGAAACTGTGCGCGTGGCGCATCCCAGAAAGGATTGATCAGCCTGTTATGATCTACTTATTTTTGAACATCACAAACTCTTCAAACGTCCTGTAAGTTGCAGAAACCGTGCTGAGAATAAGTTCTGTAAAATCTCACGAAACCCCATTCATCCTCGAAATTCGAAATAAAAGATTTTTTTCCTGTAAGCTCTGCCCCTGGCCTTTTTTGGCGATTCTTCCTGGCGGTAACCCACTGGAGTCAACACCGCTTCTTTTGCCGTGTACGGTACCATCGAACTACTCATTGCAATATTGATATCATCGTGATTGTTAAGCGATTTTTTGCGAAGATCTGATGACGCTGGAGGGAGTAGTCACCTAGATACATAGTTTTTGGAGAAAACTGGATGCGTGGCGTATCTGAATCACATTCACCAACGATTAATGCATTTGAAATCTCTATTGGTTTGATTATAATATTGACATACATAATTTAAATGTTATTTTGTAAGATATTAAATAATTATTGAATGCAAAGAAGTGAGACGGAGTTCTACGGAAGATAAGAACTCGAGCCACTCCTGACGGAGGAATGGAGCATTTGATATAAGCTCTAATGCAGTGCGGACTAGGGAATATTTTTCTAGAACCAAGGATAAGATATCAAGACGCGACCTCCCCACTGGCCTCCCCCCCCCCCAAACCTCATTTTCTTTTTATCGGGACCATCACAGTGGGCACGATCAGTGGCTTGAAGCCGGCTGAACGGCTATTTTTTGGCGCTGTCTCCGCCTTCGTCACTATTATTACCAACTGACCTGATGGCTCAAGTCGGAGTACGGACCCACACACCACAAGTGGCGACATCTCAAGTAATCTTGGTAACTTGTGATTCAGTGCAAGCTGATAGTTTTGCAATTAATAGCCCTGTTATAATACAATGGCAACAGGCTAATCATTTCATTCACAAGTTCATTCACAGAAAACATTTACATTTTTGAAGGAGCCGTCCCCCACTACTTGTGGGTGTGTGCATGTGCACTACGACGCGGGCTTCTGGTTTTCTGAAACAGAGAGCACTTCCAGCGATTGTGTCCTTGCAGCCACCCGCCTCGAGGAAAAGCGTAATTTTGCTCATGTGACACGACGAAAACTGCGCAAAGTAGCATGATGACCTGCTGGTGCACACTACTGGCTTGGGGCATTAGGAAAATATGAATACTTCTGAATGTTTGGTGGCTTCCGCTTCAATGCCAAATTTGGACTTGACGAAATAGTGCTTTCTTTGAGAAGCTTATGAATGATGAATATACCTATGATGAATACAGCCATGAAACCGATTTTACAACTACATACTATATTTTGTCACAATTTATCAGCTTCTTTGCGTTTCCATTAAAGGCATCGATTACGATAGATCTCAGAGGGGTCTACGAATGACGTGGGGGTCCCAGTAGTATACCAATAGCAAAAAAAAAGCAAAGAAATCCAGTCAATAAGTCGCATAATAACCCCATCTGGACTTGCTCCTTTCATTCCGGAAAATGAGATGGTGCCACATTCGCGCTACCTTGGCAGCCAAGTAACTGCTTCGTGTGGTGCATGGCTTTCCCCGATGCGCTCCCTTTTTTTCGTAATCGCTTCTTTTAGGAGTTAAAGCAATACTGAGCTCACAAAATTGGTACCCATAAGGACATCAAGAAAATCCAGGATTGCGAAGGGCTCCATGGCGCAGTGGTGTATCTATAGAGTATGATGAAATTCTTTTTGCGTGTTTAACCCTTTGACGACCGTGTGGCCCGCCGGTGGGCCACACTTTCGCTCGGTGGCGACACGTTTTTAGGGGTTTATTTTGGCATTTTTATGTTTCAAAACTACACAAATACATCATCGAATTCGCGGAATAATGCGCTAATTACTAATAGTGAAATTGTTGGAGAGTTAATGATTATTGATGAAAAAATTTAGAAAGAAGTGAAGTGACGCATTCATAACGGCGGTCGTCAAAGGGTTAAAAAACAGGGAATTTGCCATAACGGACCTTATTCGAACCTGTTTCATGATATCGGACTCATTGCTGCGGTTTTTGCTCTGCGATACGATTTCGCAGTCATTAAATGCGCCTTTCATGGTGTATGCTTATTCGATGATGATGATTGCAGCACTGCATCCATGTCGTGATCTGATCGGCCGACGACAGACATCTCAATCCGATTCGATCTCACCATCCGACAGCCCGTCGTCATCGTCGTCATCTGGGGTAAGAACTATTGATAATGTTGGGGAGATAGGAGAGGTGGAGCGAGCTTGCAGTCGCTGCGCTGATAGTTTTACTTGTTCCTGTTCCAGCATCGAAGATGCTTGGTGTGACTTTACTCCCCTTACTAGCCCTCTTCAGAGCAGCGAATCGAAGCACATTTTTGGGACGATTTGTTCAAGCAAAATTTCAGATTTCAATAAGGAAAAACGAGATACCTCGATGCACATCCATGGAATGCAACGTGGATTAGGACGTGGCGGCTAATTCACATAGGTTAGCGGAGCTATGGAGCAAGCATATTTAGACAACTCGTCCGACAACCCCTCCCAATCCGTGGAAGAGAAGGAGTCCTCGATTGAGGGCCTAATCGCTGGTTTTCTTTGCCTCTTTTTTCTTTCATTTACAACCAACTCGACATCCAAAATTTCATTATCGACCGTTGTTACACCACGAATTTTGATCTGGGGTTGTTACTTGAAGGGCGACGCGTACAAAGGATGAGAGGTGGATATTTGCTTGGACACTCATGCAAAAAATCTGAGGGCGGTGGTCTAGTGACTGTTCAGCTTGTCAACTCCGCCTCCCGGCCATCGCGACACCTGTGTCTAAGTTTTCACTGGGGGGGGGTGAGAAGCCTTTCGCCCAGTAACTCATAAGATTGAACCTAAAACGGGCTGTGAACTGAAGCCCGCGGTCTCCCTGCGTAAGCACAAATAGAGCTATTCTTCGGACGTTTCTTCACATGGGTGGAGAAATAGAACAAATATTTTCGGTTGCTACTACTCACTCGATTTTTCCGTGCTCTCGCTCAGAAAAACCGCTCCTGAAGTTGTAATTTGTAGAATTAGCAATTAGCTCGCCGTTGGCGGACATGAAAATCCAACCCATCTGTACGAGTTTCTCTTTACTGAGGCAAACAACATGCAAGCTAAAGAATTATAACAGATAGCAGGTTAAAGCTTCTAGTTAAGGCGATGGCGTTTCGCTTAGACCTCAAAAATCCACTCTGTCTGTTTACCTCAGTGTTAGAATTCGGTCCAATAACGAAAACCGCCCGTCGTTCTTTTCACTGGGGTAAACGAATCATTTTGGCTTTTTCGTGAGGAAGACGAGGAGGGAACAAAGACGGTCTCAGGTCTCATTCAGTAAGAGGGGGCATTGCGATATACAGCGAGCTCTAATGCCAATTTGGCTCGAGGAGACCTTTAGAGGTTCGAACTGCTATTGGCTTCATTCTCAAGTGATTTTTTTTAGATTTTTTACATATCGAGAAAAAGTTCTTGGAAAGGTAATATTCACCCAGTGAGGCGCCAAGACTAAGCCTAGTAGGAGAAGAAGGAAACTCATCCAAGCAAAATGAAAATGCTCCCGCACCCGAGAATCTCACGCCCTTTTAAGGCTCAGCCCTACCACCCTCTTAACCGCAATGCCCCTCTCCCTACCCCTTGAGAGGACTGGATGACACCAACGATTTGAGTAAGACCTGCTGAATAGAGATGTTCCTAGATTTGTTGGGACGCTACCGTAATTAGTCGGCTTCTGACAAAAATGGTCTGAATGCTAATATCACGTTAGACGCCACAGTACCACGGCCTGTTTGAGCAGCTGACAGTCTGGAAGCTGTCAGCAACAAAGTTCTTGTGGAGGTGGGTGGATCTCTGAGGCGCCATACATCTACGCAAGGGGCCGGATGCAACACTACCCGGCCGGAGATGGGTCTTCAAAGCTCTGCATCCCTGGACACATCCCCTATCTTATCAGAAATGATGCGTCCTCACCCGGAATAGAGACGCAGAGTTTCGGGACCCATCTCCGGACGCGTATTGCTGAACACGGCTCCAGGTCAGAAATATCGCCAGTGGTTGTGGAACATGCAGTTGCAATAGGGTATCTGAAAAATAGACAATTTCGCTATTTTGGTCGAGAAACTGTCGCACCAGCGTAGCTTGAACTCATGAAGTAGAATGGTGTAGAGCATGGGTTCACCCCTGCGTGATGAGTTCACTGATATTTTAAAGCAGATTTGTGCCTACCCAGTAAGGGGAGGGGGCACTTGATGCGACAGTTCATATTGGGATCCAATTTTTTGCAGTGGAGGGAAGCTCCAAACTGTCCGAACTAGGGAGTAAAAATGTAGGCGGGATGGGACACGCACCCTGTGGGTTACCTCCCGCGTGGAAATTGGATTTCTCTAGGTGCCAGCAACTGTTTCACACCATGCCCCCCATACTGGACGAGACCCCTTGAATTTCCAGATGATCACTAACTCGGAAAATGTTATTGTCATAAGCCCGCCGGACATCTGTCACAGATGTTAGTGCTAGGCTTATGACAATAACATTCCTCTTTTCTACAGTATCCTATTCTTTCGATCGTTTTTGTCTTTATTCTATAAATTCTAACGCTTTAACCGACTCTTTCAATGCGTCTTCTGATACATAGCCGCTTTCTTTCCATCCGTTCCCTTGTTTCCGCCCGATTTACCCGCGACCGTCCCCAGAGTATCATCTTCGTAGGTTTGTTTCCTTGTCTCTACGTGATATTAACAAACGTATTCAGTGCTGGGAGAAAGTCGCAAAATTTTTTGTGCAATGATCCAAAACAAACAAATAAATTAAGTAAATAAATAAAGCAAATAAATAAGCAGACACCTGCACACAAAAGGTGAACATGAGAAAAATCAGTCGTGGAGGCAGCACTAAACGTGAGCCAGAAGCTTGATTTGCAATTGCTTTTGAAACTCCAGATCATATTCATCCCGACGTGAGGAGATGGCAATGGAAAACGGCTGACATGATTCGAATCACACTATATGCCGTAGAAGTTTCTAAGTCCACTTTGCTTGTCGGTGCTCAAAAATCTTTTTCAATCTACTTTTTTAATTCATGCCTTTCCAAATGGTGCTAATCCGCGTAATATCGTATCCGGTTTTACCATAAAATTTCGGAGCGCGTAATGTATTATACCATGTTGTAAAAATTTTATGCTATCGTTTTAGGCCAAATTATCGCCGGCATCCGAAGAGGCGCTCTGTTTCCTCTATGGTTTGCGCGACATGGATTCACAGATTCGACGGGGCTACGCGGCCAGACATGGTCACTGCGCCACTGGACCCGAACAGGACCGATTCTTCTATAATCCAGTTAGTTTTATTAATATTAACACATTGTTTCTTTGCCGTAATTGGCTTCCTACTGCATTGGCCAATCGGGAAGTGTAAGGAGGATTACCGCGTAATAAGGCTAGGTGAACGTATAAACTGCGTCGAAATGTACGGCTTTGCAAAGTTCCCATCGTAATAATATATTAAGCCTGAAATGCTCCGTGAGCTCTGCCCAAGAGAATAGTTTTTTTTTCTCAAATCTTCATAGGATAGCGAAGGCGTTTGGTCGGGTAATCATGAACTCCTTCAATCCCTCAGGGTCTGAAGAGGGCGACCCCGCTGAACGTAAGCCAATAAAGTCTGCTTAACAACCTCGTGGAGAGCTTACAGAAGATATCAGCCATCGATAAACTGAGTGTTGAAGAAGGACAAACGCGCTCACTATAAGGCAATCGTCCGCCTCTAATGAAGGAAAACGTGGCACCTTTACTGGAGAAGGGCGAGCCGTAGCGACCTGGCAAGCGTTCTTCGTCTCTTTCGTCACTTTGACTCAGCGCGCCCACGTGCTATTCCTGCTGCTGCTTCTTCACCGCCTGTCTTAACTGCTTTAGCAGAAGGCAGGGCCTTCGAGTTCTCCTTTGAGGTCAGCACCGATGTGACTCGCCCAAAGCGGAAACGGGTGGGGAGTAAAGGACCTCACTATTGAGGTTTTGAGCCATTTCATAGTTCTTTAGACCGCTGCACTGCTCCCTTGATCAACTCCTACTTTTCAATTCCATTGACGCCACCATTCGCCTTTGAATGGTATTTTCGTAATCTCCAACTTCGCAAAACAGATTTTTTTTGCAGATTTGCGATTTTTCTGATGTGGCCCCGAACGGCGAGTTGTCACAGTCGATTCGTGGCGATATCGCAATGGCCGTCGACTGGGCAGAGCAAGTGCCTTCCTTCCATCTTCTCTCACCAACGTTACGGGTGAGTCATGAGGGAATCAGTGCTGTTGCTTGGAACCTAAACAACTTTGAAATAGGCAGAAGGCTGAGTGAGATGTGCCATGTTCATGGCATTCAGCACTACAGATGCTCTCTCTCATTGTTGATTTCACCTCTACAGGGTGCGCCAAAATCATAGCGGCAACGATTACAAGTACCCAAATGGACACACCAATGAAAGTCTTGGCTTACAGGATCGCTCTCACAGTGTACTCTATTGATTTGAAAGCTGATTCTGACCTGCCACTGGTTGAAAGTGATGAGATCGATAATATAGCGTTGGTTTTGCACCAATCCTGCACTAGTATCCTGCCTTGAAAGGGGAAGCTCCACTTGCAGGTAGGCCCAGCTAGAGTTTCAAAGCAATATACATGCGCGAATTTTACATCGAGAATCCCAAAATAACCTTTTCGCTTCCAGGCCTCCAGCATTCGGCGAAACTGAATCCGCCAAATGCGTGCAAATTCTGTTGCGCACCATACTGATACTACTCGTGGTCGTTACAGAACCCTCCCTCCTCATCCAGATCGACTGTATTGGCTTTTTTATTCCTTGAAGCGCTTAGAGGATCCATGGATGATTCCCAGACTATACCAAAATGCTGGTAATTTTTCTAAGCCGAAACTCTCGAAGTTGAAGTTCAATGATTTAGAAACGATGGCAGTGTCTTTCAGCCATCGTAACAGTCATATATTGTATTTGATGCTCAAGCAAGACAAGTATAAACCGGTCACGTACTTACTTACTTCTTACTTCTCGACCGCTATTCGTCCCGGGCACGCCAGAAACGCAGGTCGCACATCTTCCAGGTCGCTCTGCTTCGGGCTCTTCTGCGCCACAGACTGGCCGTACAATTTTACGAGAGGGTCTGCCGCCGGGTGAGGGTTCTTGTTTTCCCTCTTGATACCAGTCAGTCACTCTCTTCGTCCAGCGATCATCGGTGAAGTCTAGCCACATGACCGGCCCACCTACGCTTGGAATTATAGATGGCATCGACGACGTCCTTCACCATCGTACGAGCGCGGATGGTGTCATTGGGTATGCGGTCTCAGAGCGTTACGTAATAACACAGAAGAGCGCAGCATCTTCAAACAGTGGGTAAAATTATGTGCATATGCGATGTCGCTATAATTTTGGTGTACTCTCTATTTCACACTTTACTGCTCTCTGCACACACGGTTTGGATACGTATTGATTTCAAGTGATAGAAAACAGACGCAAAGAAGCAGAATAAGTCGCTTAGTAACATTGAAAAAAAAAAAACCATCAAGTGTTGATCAACCTTTTTGCGATTTTGCATTTTAAATATATCCGAGTGAAAACTCCAGTTCGGGGGGGCCACTCCATTTTTTCTCCAATACTCAAGATAAGGATTAGAGGGCTCACGACACGTAATCGACTCATTTAAAGTAGACTTCTGATAAATATTGGTGTAATGGGTGAGAAACCCTGAAACGTTTTCACATTTCCGCCTGCCATGACCCAAGGGAACGGTCCTGGACCAGGAGAAAGGACACCTCCGCAAAGGGCTAAGGGTGCAGGAGCTCCAGGGTGGATCACCTGTGCAGAAAAGTGGATGGGATGTGGGCAGGTAGTGTGGAATGTAGGACATCCACCGGTCCTTATCAAAAGTACGCTCGAAATGAGTCGTTCACTTATTATCTTATCCGTAGTGTTCGATAGCCCAAAGAACTGCTCTCTAGTACTACGGATAAGATAGCAATGGAGTGCCCCCCCCCCGAACTGGAGTTTCACCGCCGAAATTGAAACTAGTATTGAATGTAACATACGAAGTTCTACATAAATTCAATAACATGATTACTTCTCAAATTTATACACTTCATGACGCTACTTATCCTTTTCTAACCCCTTTTACCAATCCTTGACTCACAGAGGAGCCTCAGGATGTTGAAGGAATACAGTTGTTCATCAGAGATAAGCTGAGATGACCCCACCCCTCCCTTTCGTGCATTGCTAATCCGAAAACTCTTTTCTCAATTTTTTTTATCAGTGACTACAAACAAAGAGACCACCTTCAACAACCACCACCCCTCTCCCCGTTAAGACATAAGCCGCAATGAAAACGAGTCAATCTAAACATCGGTGTAGCTAACAGTACACCTCCAATGCACATGACAGAGATGGTGTTCCCGACCCCAAAGCTGTTAGTGGACATACTGAACATCGTTATTTTGCCCTGGACCTGGGTGCCCTTTGAAAAAACGGGGACTGGGTGGCCTTTTCGTCTACGCCAAAAAATTCACCCAGACGTGCTCTTTTGCCATCGGGCATGTCTAGAATAATATAGAAACGCCGGTGTTAACCTACGCCTACGCTTAACGTTTAAAACAAATAAACTTCCATGTGCCCCTGCGATTGTAGAGGAAGATGGAAGTACTGTAACTGAGAGATTTGTCCAGCCGGTCCCGTCACATTTTTTCACCTGAAGATAGTAGTATCAAAATTCTGAGCAGATAACGAGTTATGTAGGACTGATGAAATGCAAAACTCTTTACTCATCCCATTCCAATCCTTTTTGTAGGGAAGTCCCACCGCAATTTTCTTCTATCTTTCGACAAACTCGCCCCCTTCTTTCCCCCAGATTCTCAACTGGATTAGGCTTGTTTGGTAACTCGGTCTGGCGGTACTCGATGAGGGAGTTGGTAGGAGGACATGGCAGACTAGAAGATCCGATCTCGGTGTCAACTTAATATAAAATTGTGATACACTCCTTCAATGTTTCTTGGATTACCAGCCACTTTTTCTGAGCGCTGTAGCCGCACCCCTCGAAGTATTCACGAGGCAGGAAGGTAGCACAGAAACCAGGATATCCTTAAGTTGTTTAAATGATTGAATGGTAATGAAAACCTCGAAAAATAGGTGATAGCGATTATGAGAACATCGTGGATCTAGTTACCAAGCCAACAAAGCGGGTCATCCGCCACATTCGCACTTTTTCAAAAATTTTGCGATCATCCCTTTAAATTTCTCTAGCAGCTCTTACCACCTCCATCAGTCCTTAAGGCTCCTCCAACGCAATCCCCCTTCCCCTCCTCCGATCCTCAACTCTCACCATAACGGCGGCTAATCCACCAGTTCTGCCTAATCTCACTACTTCGTAAAAGCTTCACCATAATTTTCAAAACCGTCCAAAACACAACCCTCCTTAGATTTCCTTCATTCTCCGTTTCCATTATGATAACTTTGTTCAACCCCGAAATGGACCGCCTCTTCCAAACCGCAAATGCGACTCTCGGTCGAATAGCGCGAACGGACGGCTGACCGGCACAGGGACCGAAGCACCAAACCGGAACAACGAAGTGTTAACCGCCTGCTGAGATTCTCCCGTGGAATCGTGTTACGCGAATTCGGGATTCATAAGTCGCCTGTTTTAGTCGGATCGTTTCTGAAGTAGAGTTTTTACGAAGTGCTGCTTGCAAGCACCGTACCATCCGTCATGAACGCGTCACTTTCTTAGCAGCCAAGTGACCTCCTCCCTCTTCATCATAATTGCTTCCTTTGAGGAATTTTGGCGAAGGCGTTGCGATCTGTGTCAAGACGAACCAAATTTGGCGACATCATGAACAACCATTTGGCTGATGGTGGAGAAGCCGTCCAGAGGGGTCGCCCAACTTTGAGAAGAATTTCATCTACGTGTCGGTTGACACTGGTCGCAACTACTCTGGACTGCGAGCTTCCAATAGAAGTTTCTTATATAGTGCTGCTGAAACGGAAGCTCTTCACGACAAATCAGGAAAATCGTTTCCGTTTATGATTTCCAGGCGGTGGCGTTTTCTATGGGTGGTTTCCCACCCTTCCCCTTAGAAAACAGCTTCTTCTCTCCTCTAGCGTAGGTCCCGCGCAGTCGCAGGGTCCGCTGTCTTTGTCAGTCGTCGCCACTTCGCTCTGTCCAGGGCATCTTCTGCTGTGGCCGTGACTTCACTTAGGTCCTTCTTGATCACGTCTCTTCCACCTCTTCTTTGGGCTCCTCGCGGTCGCTTGCCTTGTGCTTCGAATCCATTGCTTTCTTTATCGAGAGGTAATATTCTTCCCAGCCGCAGGCCATCTCAGGATCCTAATTTCGTGATGCCTGGGAGACAGCGTTGTGAAATTTTAAATGACACATCCCATGCTGAAATGTAGTCAAAAGTGGTGCCCGACGCAAGCGCGTAAAATCAATAAACCGCATTAGCATATTTGATTTCTGTTTTGTTTTAGCGCCATCTACTGCATCGATTCTGTCTGATGTTTGTCACCATAGAGCACGGACTGTTCACCGCACAGATGCCAGCTCACGACAATGTCTGGTTTCTGTCGGATCGTACATGTCTCGTACGACATCTGGAAGCGATACCTGAAGAGATCAAGCTGCATCTAACACCGAAAAACCACAAAAGCTCAGGAGTAAGTGAAATACGGATCAATTATTGATTGCTTCTGATCACTAAGCAAAAGAATTGTTAACAATTCAGGCTACTCTACCCGTTGACCTCTCTATTGATCGATGAAATTGCACAACCGTTGCGGAAACTTCGACCAACTCCTGAAGAAATAGGAAACGGGTCACCAACTGCCTGAAGGAAAATAGTGCGTTGAAGTGCTTATGCTTGATGAGTGGTTGCCTCCTTCTACGGTCGCTGTTTGAACGCATGCTGGTAATCAGATATTTCAGAGCCAACGATTATACATGAATCAGAAAGTGTCCCGTTAGCAAATACCGAAGAACTGCGACTTTTGTCGGATGTCCGGGACAAGGTCCTCATGGGACTACACGCGTTCTACATTGCCAGTGGTGAAGAGAATCCCGAAGAGCGGTTGAGCGATTTGCTGATGTTGAGCGGAGGAGTCGCTGTAAGTTCTTCGATTTTTCTTTTCCTCATACAAGCTAAATAATTACTTCTTAAACCCTTTTTGCCTGCAAACAAATCTGTCTGCTCATCACGGCGCCGTACTCAATCTTTTGGGAAGGTATCCAACCAGTGGAAATAGCGTTTAACAAACTGAGGACGTTGAGACGCGCTGACGCGCCTCACCCTTGTCATCGCTTTTCCTAGCGCATGCGCGGCTTTTTCCAAAGTTGTTTGTATTTTTTGCTATAGATTATACATGGACCGAACTGTGAACGCCTTGGTCCATGATGCGGTTAGATTTTCCTGAGCACACCTGCTAAACCCGCTTTTCCGGGCGCTCCGGGAGCTTGAGGTCAGGCTAGGCCCCTCGGAAAGACCCGTTCAATCTTCTCCACAAGTCGCTACGATGACATCCGTCGATCGAGGGCACACAAATGTCTGGTCGTCTTGGCCCATGAACTGATTTCTGAACCCTCAGGCTTGCCGGTCAATCGACGGTTGTCAATATACCCGTTTTTCTGAGTTCCTGCAAGTGCCTATGAGTTCATTGTGGCGCTAAAGAGAGGTCGACTGGGCGAGAGAGGTAGGGGAGAATATGCGAGAGAGCACGCAGTACAAGAGGGAGCAGACACGTATGCTGCGAACGGCAGTTCAAAGCAAGACTTTTGTGCATTTGCCGCGCACTTTCAGTCGCAACAGTAACACTACTCCAAGTCTCAGTACCTTAGCTCAGCTCGGGTAATCTTAATGATGTCGTTGAAGTGGAAGTTGATGCCTGCCCCGCGTTCGTTAGTACATTTGGTGTGGGTCTTCAATTCCTTGAGCGGTACAACGTACGCGGCATACCATGTACCTGTTGACCGACTGCCACCCTATCACAGTGCCATCTGCCATCTTAGAGGATCCCATATTCCATCTCCAAAGATCAGCGAGTCGGGAGCCTCGCGGTTCCTTAGAAAAGCGTTCACAGAAATACAGGCTGGAATGAGGTCACCGTTCTTGAGCTAATGAGACTTAATGGCTAAGCTTGACGACTTCCAACTGCTTCTAACCTATTTGAGTTGCCGATGGGCGTGCTCGATCTTCAACACACTTGTTCACTTGTGATGACTCAAAGGTGCTCCGCTCTCTCCACCTTTTACCACAGCACCTCCAGATCAAACTCCCTCGACTGACCTCAGTGCTTCTTTCAAGGGATATTCGTTCCTTGGTGAATCAGATATTGAGCGCGCTGGAAAATATCCCTCAGCCAGTGATATCCTACGCTTGCTGTTAACCCTTATTCAAACTCATATACCTTGGAAAACGTTGTGTGAATCAGAGGGAACTGCCATTTATCTCTTTGATCAATCGGTGGTCAAATCTACCGGCGCCTAATGGATTTTTTTAAAATTTTTTATTATTTCAGATTTGTGCTGCTCAAGAATTGGAAGGCTTGCACTTGTTACGGTTCTTCGACATGGCCCGATTCGACGACGATTGCGCCAAATTACTGTTTGGTGGCTAACCGGTTCTGAGCCTATGTGCGGCAGTACTCTCTCCGTCGCGTTCTCATTCTTGTGCTCTCACCGTCATTCGCACTACTCTTTTCTGTTCGATTAGTCAGCGACGGCGTTTTTACGCACGGCCAACTTTTATCGATCACAGTAAAATTGAAACCGGTTAGCTTGGAGGGGCCAACACGGAGACGATTCACTGTACGAATTTCAACGACTGATTTCAGACGATGGGACAGAGGGCCTCCAGTGCGTGTAGAGTTGTAATATTGTAGATAGTAGTACCCATTGTGCTCTACTCCGAGACCAAGGAAGGAGAAAAAACCCTTTTGAGTATTACTGGCTTTCCGATCAAGATTGTCACACGAAGTTGCGTTTTTTAAGGTCTGTGTAAATGTAAGAATGACTACTTACTTAAAGGCAGCGAACACGGTGGATGGGGGTGTTGCGGTTTTGATGAGGTCATTGAACGCCACTGGCAGAAAATCGTCAGGAGGCGTTCCCTACCACAGCCCTCAACGCACTGAAGGGTCCAGGTCACCAGAAACGCTCGATGATCTCACCAAAACCGCACCGCCCTTGAGCCACGGTGATCACTGCCTTTGAAGAAACAACATATTTCATGAAAAAACTAAATTCGAAGGGGTTTCTCCCAGGTTCCCGGTTCCC